GTTGCTTTGTAGTCATACCCATACTGATGCTTTTAAGGCTTATATAATTATGTGTTTTATTTCTTTTCATCCATCAAAGTAAAAGAGCAGTGGAATGCAAGGGGCTTTGGTAAGGAATAAGGTGCTGAAAGGATGCTGTTAAACTGTTAACTTGATCTTTAATCATTGACTAAAATAAAGTGAGCAAGTAGAGCATCACGGCACAAGAAAGAGAAGAAGCAGGAATTTCATTTCTTTGATTAGAAAAGAAACAAAATACATTCCTTTAGACATTGGTAGAAAATACCATCTCAACAAGGACCTAGTCATCCCCAAATTATTGTAGTTACCATCATTGGAAAAGGCTGTGTCAAATGAGTTTAATCTCTGAGGTCTCTAAGAAACTAGTAATTCCCTGTCCATCAGAGCACCAGCTGGAACATCATTACCCTTCCAGTGAAATGAGAAGAAACTCAAGACTATAAAAGTAGCTTTATTGTATTTGCTATTGCTTCACAGATGAGAGTGATCCATATATATATAAAAAGAAAGGTGATGGAGATACATATGAAACAAGACATGGTTTGACAAATAGCAGAATGAATTCATAGAACATAAAAGGACCTATTTAAAGCTGATTGGTCATAGCACGATTGGGTTCAGTAGTGACCAAGTACACACGCCTCAGTTAGTTTGAGATTTCTAACATGCACCAAGTAGTAGCTCAACCTTGAGAAACAGGAGTCACTACTATGCTATGGTAAATTTAAGCCTAAGACTAGTTTAAAAATCAGAGGAAATCAAGGACACGCCTCTTGTGGCATGGGGTAGTGATCAGCAAGGCATGATGGAGATTTTGGTAAATGCACACTGCCAGTATTTACGAAAAGTAGAACTGTTTGCTTGTAAAATCTCATGTCATTTGGGATTTCCATCTTCATAACATTCCCGTGAATTTCATTAAGTGGTATTTTGGAGTGGGTCCTTTTGAAATGGAGATGACTGTTTACCAAAGCATTCTTTTTCATAACTTACAATGCTATGATACCCTACAGAAATAATTCTTCAAAAATAGATCCAAGTTGGCTGTCATCCTGCCTTCCCCTCCTGACTGCTGTTGAATACTTTGTGTCAGCACACAAACACAGCTTCCTCTCATGATCTGGAAGTTTGTTTTTGTAAAAAGTCCCTGATACAGTCATACTTCCTGTAATGATTTGATTTAATACAACATCCTTACTCTTAAGATTTGATTGCAGATGGAAGAATATGGTTACATTATAGTAAATGAAAAAAAAATCATTCCTTTGAATTCCTCTCCACACGTTCTTGGAAGTTCTTTACTTTTTCAGCAAATATTAAGGGCATTTGCGATAATAACAATCATAGGAATAATAAGCTAAGAGGTCATATTTCTTAGCTCGGAATCAACAACTTCTGATTTTTTTTGAGAATGGGTACTATGTAATCAATTGTAGTAGCTCCCTTGGAGTCTAATTTTGAGTAGGTTCTACCTCTAACTTTAATATTTTTGAGGGGTGAAATTGGATATCTTAAGTTGTTGCGAAGGCCTGGATACTAGATAAGATTTGGCCTTGAGTAAAGATGAGATCACAGTTAAGTACATCATAAGGCTGGAGCTGCTAAACAAAAAACTTGGTGATGGGCTTTTAGGTTGATGCCTTCATCTTTGGTTTTGCTCATCCCGTGCTGGTTAGGAATACAAAGCCATCAGCCTGATTCTCCAACAGAGGTTGGGAGTCAGGGCTCCTGTACATCATGTGGAGGAAGAGTTAGAGCCCATTGTTCCTGGCTCTTCTGTGATAGGCTCAAAGAATATGCATGGAATCTACCAAAGTTCCCTGTGTTTGGCTGAAATTTACTTTTACTAGTTATATGTCCTTTATCTACATATATGACATCTTTGGCATTTATACTCGTATGCCAATTATGTCTTTCGACTTCCATAATCAATTCTTGTAATTTTATTAGGAATTAACTATCCACTCAAATCAACAGGTTTTTCTTTTCTTTCTTTTTTTTTTTAAGATATTGGGGGTAGGAGTTTATTAATTAATTAATTAATTTTTGCTGTGCTGTGTCTTCGTTTCTGTGCAAGGGCTTTCTCTAGTTGTGGCAAGTAGGGGCCACTCTTCATCGCGATGCCCGGGCCTCTCACTATGGCGGCCTCCCTTGTTGCGGAGCACAGGCTCCAGACGTGCAGGCTCAGTAGTTGTGGCTCACGGGCCTAGTTGCTCCGTGGCATGTGGGATCCTCCCAGACCAGGGCTCAAACACATGTCCCCTGCATTAGCAGGCAGATTCTCAACCACTGCGCCACCAGGGAAGCCCCAACAGGTTTTTCTTGGTCTTCTATTTTTACACACTAGCAACATACTAACTGAAAGATAAAAGTTCCTATCCCCAGTTTTTAGGCATCTAAATGTCCACAAATTACTAATTTGGATTGATTGATTATTTTTAACCCACAGACTTATTTGACTTGCTAGAATGGATGGCAAAGATGAAGAATAATCAACCAAGGACATGTCAAGTTGAAAAGAAAATTGAGTCTAACAGGAGAACTGACAGAAGATGAAGATGAAGTGACATAACTGGAGCTTTATTTCTGACTCACGTTTTTTTTTTCATTAAATATCTTTCCCAAAGAAAGATACTTTTCTACTTTCCCAAAGTAGAAAAACTTTGGGAAAAAGTAGGGCTGAATACATCAGTGTTTCTTAAAGGCTAGGAAAATTGCTACCCCTGGGAAGCCAGAACGATATGATGACACAGTCTGTTGTAATGTGAGACTGAATTACCCATATTTCCCCTGCAATGAAGTTCTTTTCCACTGGTAGAAGTCTTTTTATGTGGAAGTCTAATTGATCAACTATTAGCTTTTATTTTTACATGTTTCTCACTGCCTTTCTTACTTTGAAGACAAAGACTTTGTTTCAGATTTCTTTAAAAAAAATCAAAATGACACAACGACAATAAAAAAGTCTACCAACAAATAGTAATACCTCAAGAAATTAAGCATCTCTTTTATTCTTTAAAATTCCAGTTGAATTCTAATTATACCATTTCATTGCAAATTTATACTCTGGAGACTCAAACTCTGCTCATATGTTACCTCACTCTGAGAGCAGAAACTGCTCATTGCTACCCAGAGACCTAAGGATTGGTTGGCAGCTCATCCTGATTACAGATAAACTGAAATCCACAAAAGGCAAAACGTGTGTAGTTAGTCAATTAGGAGTGAAATGTTAAGTTTAGACCTTCAGGGGTAAGTCTTCCCAGGGGAAGAAAATTAAGGGCACCTTGGACCTATGCAGAGTCCAATGCTGAAACTCGAGTGTACACTATAGAACTTGGAAATCAAGACTTGAAATGCTAATACCTTTCATTTGAAAAAAATCCCACCCCAGAAAGCGATTATAAAATAACCTGCATTCAAAACTAGTTATTTCTAATATTTAACAGTAAAAGTCTAGCAAGAATGAAAGCCAAGATTGAGAGGCTGGAAGGCTTTGTTATGCCACATGGTTGGATGTCTGACCGTTTGACCACAGAGACCAAATACAGAACCAAGCCCGAAGATGAGGTGGCCCTTTACTAAGCTACCAGTGCAAAGGCCTCGTGACTTCCTTGTTTTTCTTTTCTCTTTTCTTCTTTCTCCAGATGATGTCTGAGTACAGAGGATCCAAGCAAGGGAGAAAGAATCATATTGCGGTAGAAGTGTCCCTTTTTTTTTTAATCTGTCAATTTACATTTCGATGGGATTGAAATCAGTCAATTAAAACTGAAAATTTAATTCAAAGAAAAATCAGACAAAATAGTTGTTTAAATGCATCTAAATACCTGACCCACTCATTCATGGCACTTTTTACTTTTAACCTCTAATTTTAGGTTTCTGGAATCTCATCTCTGGGCTGTAATTTCCTGTTAAGTGGGAAAGAGAAACAACGATGGCTTGTTGTGAGGATCAATGAGTGAATCTCTGCTATGCTGTCTGGGGCCATTGGCTACTGGGTGCCATGTCAGTACAATGTGTTTTATCACTTAAATAAGACATGGTTTGCAGATTACACTGATTTGCTGCTCGTTACGTTGTGGTTTCTCAAATGGAACATGACATTTTTGAATGGCTACACTGAGAAGGCCTCATGCATTGGAAATATGTCAAAATGCAAAAAACATTTTGGGGTCAAAATCCTCCGTTAGTTTGACAACTGTTAGTTGGGTGTTGAGCATGAATCTGTTTCAGTCAGATTCATGCCCAGATGTAATCAAATAATTTTGCCTGAATCCTTTTGTTAGCATGTTAACACGAGAGGATTTTGTACAGAGTAATAATAAGTAAGTGTGCCTGGAAAATGCTAAGTTTCAAACCAGAAGCAACTTTAGAGCTATTTATGGAATATTTTGTTATAATATGATTTATTGACTTGTACAAGTATTGGATTTTAAGACGCTACATATTTATTTATTTTGTGTGTAGTGCAATAGATCAGATGATTGAGTCTTCCAAATCTGGCTGAAATAGGTATGCGAAATGAACATACAGTAAGATTTCTCAATCTTATGTTACATCATTGTACCATATACAATAGAAGTATGCAAGATTCTGAATTTTGATCACATTCAAATTAGCACTGATGTAAATATTGTGAAAAAACGTGATAGTGCAAGAGCAAAACTGTAAACATACTAGGGCATTATTTTCCTGTCAATGTTACCACATTATACAATAAAAAAAGGTTTAATAACTAAAACGACTAATATCTAACTACATTAATGTGATTTTTAAAAATTAATTAATTAATTAAATTTTGGTTGTGTTGGGTCTTCGTTGCTGCACGTGGGCCTTCTCTAGTTGCGGTGAGCAGGGGCTACTCTTCTTTGCAGTGCGTGGGCTTCTCATTGTGGTGGCTTCACTTTGTTGCAGAGCATGGGCTCTAGGCCTGCGGACTCTAGAGCACAGGCTCAGTAGTTGTGGCTTTGTTGCTCCGCAGCATGTATGATCTTCCCGGACTAGGGCTCGAACCCGTGTGCTCTGTATTGGCAGGTGGGTTCTTTACCACTGCGCCACCATGGAAGCCCTGTATTTTAAACTTTTACAGCTTCAACCCCATGATTTTTACAGCTGCATTAAAGGTTCAGTTCTGGGTCAGAGGTTTTAGCCACATTTTCTGTTTAATGGAAGGAGACTTGAAATGTGGGAACATCATGATATGACACCATTTCACAGATAATCTGAATCCAGATTACTTGCCCCAGTGTTCCCATTCTTATAGAATAAAATATACATGAGCACACTTGCCCAGGACTTGCTCTCTTAATCACAAATGTCTTCATGGATAATTTCCACAGTTGTGATGGAAAAGCCAGGACGAGCATGCCTCTGTGTGTGTGCGTGCATGTGGTGTGCGCGCTCGCAGGTCTGGTCAGTGTATCCATATATGTGGGCTCGTGTGTACGTCCATGCCGTGTCTACACACTCAAAGTCACATTCTTCTTGAGTGAATGTACAAATCTGTCCTGGTTTGAATGAAATGAGAATTCACCTTTTGCACATTTAGCCAATCCTAGCCCATTTATTCTCTGCCCCAAATAAACGCTCTAAATTCTGCCAAAATCCAAACGTTTCCTGTGTAACACTGAGTTGTATGAGATTTGTTTCAATACTGAGGGCATCTTTTACATGTTATCAGAGTATCAAATTTTGTTCCTGCTTCAAGGAATCGTCTGTGTTTGAATTCCTTATCCTCAGCTCCACTTGTTCCTCGGAGTCCCATTCAACCTCACGGACTGGACTTCAATATAGGAGCACATTTCTGATTGTTATGGAGCTGAATGTTTCTTTTGTGTTCACTGTAATCAACAAGCATGTACTTAGCTTGAGAGAGACAGCCATTATTCTCAACGGTCTTATTCCGTTCTTGAAATACCTGTGGCAGTTCCTTTGTGGACAAGGTATTTTAATAAGGAATGAAATCACTGAAAGGAATATTTGTCCATAATAAAGAACTGGGGATGTGGGACCCACAGAGTCCCCTGGCTTCAGAAAGTTACTTTGAAAACATTGTCCAGAGTGAAGTTTTAAAACTTTCATTTTTACGTGAATGACTTGTGGGTCCTGTTAAGATACAGCCTCGGATTCTCTAAGTCCAGCTGGAGCGAAATTACTAATAAGCTCCTGGATGCTGTTGATACTGCTGGTCTGTGAACCCATTTTGAATAGAAAGGGGCTAGTACATTCCAACCAAAACAAATGAGTGTGAACAATCACATCAGCTCCATCTGTACATGTATTCACAACGATGCATTCCTGATTTGATCAATTTCACTCTGTACAATTACATTCACCGAAAAAGGTAAAAACAGAATTATCATATTTTGTGAGTTCAGAGTCCCTTTGCCCCTTTTTATGTATTACCAGATAGCCTTCATTATAAATACCTTTTTCTCTGCTTGAAAAAATGAGTGTGTTTTAGAGCAATGATATAAGTGGGTACTGAACCACATTTCAGCTCTCGGCCATCTCCTCTTTGATACTTGGATTGAATAAATACATTTTATTATAGCTGACATCCTTGTATGGAAATGCATTTCCTTTCAATACCAGCATTGTGAAATATCTGTCCATCCAGATTGTTTCAAGTAGCCTCCACCAAGTTCTTTGAAATGCAGCCCCCTTTTAGAAAATTTGAATTTGGGGAGTTTGGTTCACACAAAGCATTTAAAAAGGGAACCCTCCCAGATGTGGAATGCTTGTTTAGACACCAGATCAAAGGACCAGGTCTGTATATCTGTGCAGTTTTTCAGAGTGCGTCCACACGTTTTTGTTTTCCCGGTGACCTCTGGGTTTGAAGGGAGCTCAGATGTGGAAGCAGCTCAGAGTTAAGTCGAGGCAACACCACTGCCGTCAGACGTTGCTCTGTTGCAACAAAAGTGTTCTCAGCTCTCTTTCCCTCTGATCTTCCTGCCTGTACTTCTCCTCAAGTTTCTGCTTCTCAGAATCCGTGCAGTAAAAGGTGCAATCTGGGCTCTTCCGGATCTGTTCAAACTGACTGAAATCAGCCACGTACTTGCCGGTTTTTGAGAGAGAAACCACAGGCACAAACTCAAAACCCCAGTAGATCTCCTCTGGGATGTAAGAGGTGCGGCTCTGGCAGACAGCGCTGGTGGACTCCACCGTGGCGTTCAGGAGGACCACCAGCTCAAACTCCTTCTGCTTAAGGTTTTGGGGGGTGAGATCTCTCAGGGGGCTCGTCTCATCCAGCACGTGGTAGAATGTCATGGGCAAGATGAGGAAAGGGCTCTCGGAAGAGGAGTCCACATGGAATTTGACGGTGGCCTGGTTGAGGAGGATTCGCTCCCCCTCCTTGGTGACATGGGTCTGGAGGAGCTTTCCCGAGAGCTGGCACTGAATCAGGAGACTCTTCCTCATGTTGGCCACCTGGATCACCAAGCACAGCTTCCCGTTCTGCTTGGTGATGACAGCACAGTGGCTGAACTTGATGGTCTCTGCCCGCTTTTTGGGTCTCGCAATTTTGGCCAGGAAGGTGCCCGTGATGAAGATCTCAATCAAGGTGGTGATGACCAGCTGAGCCACCAAGAGGAAGATGGCATGAGGGCATTCCTCCGTGATGGAACGGACTCCATAGCCGATGGTTGTCTGGGATTCCAGGGAAAAGAGAAATGCCCCCGTGAGCGAGTCCACCTTCATGATGCAGGGGGTGTGATTTGAAGTGTGCTCCCTGGGTTCTAAGTCCCCATGAATGAAGGCAATGGCATAGTAGATCACACCAAAAAGGAACCACGTCATCACGAACGTGGCAGCAAACAGGGTGAGCTTGTATCTCCACTTCATGTCGATGACGGTGGTCCACAAGTCTTGGAGGTAGAGCAAGTATATGCCATCCACTTTGTCGATTCTCACATTGCTGTGCCCACTCTTGGACATGACTCGGGGTCTGCTGGCCTTGAGGCCAGCTCCAGCTGTGTGCTTCACCAGGGTAGCACTGGCCATACTGATGTTAATCCGTTCCATGGTCAGGCCTTGGGACCACCTAAGGAAATGACAAAGAGAGACGTTCCATTGTTGTCACATGAGGTAGAATGCCCAGAAAACAGAAACAGGATAATCATGTGAGATAAATACGAATGTACATGGACGTTTACAAGAAAGGATAATTCTGAGGGCAAGATGAATCACTGGGTACTTGAGGATGGCAGTAGGAGGGAGTGAAGAGCACAGACTGAAGACAGAGAAACCTGGGTTAAATGTTGCCTCTCCCACTTATTTGCTGTGAGACCTGGGCTAAGCTATTTAACCTTTCTGGACCTCAAATCTCTAATATGTAAAATATGGAACTAAAGTCTACTTCTCAGGGTTCTTGTGATAGTTGAATGAGATAATGGCTATAAAGTGCCAAAACAGAGATTCACACTCAAAAAAATGATGCTAATCTTCTCTTTGTGATATCACACTCACAAGAATCCACCCCACGGAGTATTATGATTATTTATGTATATTCAGCTCTTACGGATTTCCAAGTATAGAAAATTTAAAAATAAGTTGACTGAGCATAGGGCCAGTACTGATATAATTAAAATGCACCATCCATAAGATACGTCTTGATACAGCAATGGGAAATGTTAATACAAATTTTAAAACCATGTGTAGTATTCATAATCGTTTTTAAAAAGCTACCATTTGCATGACATTCCCTGTAGTAGCAATTCATTTTCCCCCTAGTCCAATGAATAATTGGGAATCCATGACCTGTCCTAGTTCTTGATTACAATGGAAAAGAGCAAGTTATCAAACAACCAAAAATAAACATAGAGTGAATAATTAAGCTTTATTAACAGCTTGATCAATATGCTCGTTATTCTCAGAAAAGTGTTATCAATATAGAATATTAGGTGTGACATTTAGGTATGGTGCAAAAATTTGGCCTTACTTCTTTTGAGCTAAGTAGAACCAGCATAGGAATCTATTTTAAAGAGCTAATGAACAAGTAAATAAGTACAGGCAACCAACATTGTAGCAGAACAGACTTACCTAGAAGAAGCACTAGGCTCCCACACTGAGCCCTGGGCAATGCTCTGCCCTCCATTTACAGATAGGGACAAGCTGTGTATGAGGCCACACAGCATCTTATAGTACCTGCCTGGCGACTGACATAAATTACCCCTACATTCCTTGAAAAACATAATGTGAGTGATTATAGGGCAATTCTACCTGGTTGGTATGTTTTTCCCACCTCATCGGCATTTTAAGAATAATAATAAAAAAATTTCTCCCTTTAAAAAGGAACTGGTATATGGTGGTCTGTTATTCACGCAATAATCTTTGCTGTTGGAGCAGTGTTATCTCAATAGAAGTTTCTAAAGTAATCCTTTGGGCAAATCCCTTCAAGGAATCTGAAACTGTATCCATTATAGGATAACACCTGTTGAGGATGCAGTAAATCTGTTGGGCTTTTTAATTTTCCTGTTATGTTATTAAGAGTGTGTCATTTACTGACTGACCCTTGAAATGATTTTTTTTTTTTCTCAGAAAGGAGAGTCACCATTTCATTTTCTTTGCAAAGAAGGGCCCTAAGTTATTCAGAATTTATTTTACTTGTTGAAGCCTATTCCATTTATTTGGGTATCAATTTAGATGTAAAGTACAGGATATAATTTAGCGTGGGCTTTATCAGACCCTTTATGCAGCACTTCTCAGTAATCGAGAGGAAAGCGACCACAATGAAAGTTTGAAAAGGTTAATGCCATGCTGGCATGCCCAAATGCGTAGTCAAGCTCAGAACACTTTGCCAAGACAAATGCAGCTTATGGACAAGTAATTGCATGCACTTAAACAAAAAAAAGAAACTGGTAGGGGAAAGTACATGCCATTCAACCCACTGAAATAAAAACAGAAGCTTAAGTTTTCTTGTGTGAATGATGCAGAAGTGTCCTGCAGCACACGCTAAGCCCCAAGCTCAGCCTTCCACCAGATTCTGGGAAACTTGGCCCTGTTTCTATGAAGGCAATGTCATGAAGCTTCTGTTTTAACCTCTGTTTCAAAGGGGCAGTGGGCCAGGCTCGCGATGAGCTGAATCTTTCCCCTCTTTCTGCTGAAAGCTCTTGTGCTGCATTTTTGCACAACTATTGTTGGAATCAGTGACACCAATGGCTATCAGAGGATGGGGGGCATATATGGGGGAACAAAACTTAGAGTCTCTGGGTGGGGTGGGGGTATTGGGATTAGCATCTCTCTGTGGAAAAGAGCGGCTGGTGGACAGCACTCAAAGGTTAAACACCCACTCCCTCCCTCTCAACATTGCTGTGCCCTCAGAACTGGGTGCTACCTGGTCACTCACTCGGCAGGTCAAATGGCGGCTTCTTCAAAGCAGGTGTATCGTCCTTGCTCCCCTTCGCCCACCTGGCTACCATAGGATTCTTCTACTTCCTGAAAGAAAGAGGGACACATGGAGTTCACAGCTGTTTACTAAGAAACTGACCCAGTGAAACTGACCCTTACTGATTCCCCCAAGTGCTAGGGCCCCAGCGTTCACCTTCCAACCCCTGGTGATCTGGCATAGTGCCCAGAATAGATCCAAGCTCAAGGAGTATTTTAGGAATGAAATTGAAGCCCCAATCACAGCCCTCACTGTAGAATTCCCACCCTCTGGAGGGAGCTCGATAGTAAAACACCCTGGAAAGGGTGGGTTAACTCACCCCCACTGAAGCCCACTATCAACTGACCAGCAAACAGAGAGGCAGGAAGGGGAAGTGCAGAGGAAGTAAACAGTGAGAATTGGAAGGGAAGAGTCTAGAATATTTTTACCGCCTGTGGAAATGCATTATTGCTGTTGAGTCATAGAACATTAGATTCAAAAAGAATGTCAAAACCAAGGCATTTGACACACGTTTTTCAAACCAGGAGACCTGGGAGGTTGCAGTGACTTGCCTTCTTCACACAGATGGCCCATAGCAGAAAGGACGGGGTCCAAAGTCTTTGGAAGCTAGACTGGAGTTCTTGTCAGTACACAAATCCCTCTTAAACCTCCAAAGTTTAATGCAATCTGTTCTAACTCCACTAGATTCTTTTGCATGCTACTTTTCTGAAATACTTCTTCCTAAACTATACATATATATCTCCCCACATTTTTATCTGTCTTATACACAGAGGCTTAATGCACTTCACACTTCTTTTCTGATCCACTAATTATTGTAAATAATTACAATAATTACTCTTTTATCATTTAGGTAGTCCCAATTATCAGTCCGTATAGCCTTTTATATACTGGATTCTCCCAGTGTGTTCACAGTATGTTTGGCAAATGACATCTACATCATCGCTCTATTAAGGTCCAGCATCTCCTTCTTTGCACCCATTTATTTTTACCTGTACGCTTTACCTTTTACACTTTATTATATGCTCTTAATTTATAGTATTTCATTCTTCAGCAGACTTTAATGCAATTTACTTCATTGCACACTCTTCTTTCATATAATTTTATGTTACTGCTTTAGATTTTTTTTCCCTTAGATTCTGCAATCTACCTGGTTTCACTTCTAAAATATTAAGGGACCATAATCATTTCCCAAAAGTAAAGGAAGGAAAGAATAATAAAAGATATCCTCTCCTAATTTTCCCTCTCCTAATCCCGCAAAGAAACAACATTCCATATGAACCATTAGTAGTTTTCTATAGTCTCTGGAAACTGTATTTATTTCTCCAGTTTTCATCATATGATTCCAACATGTGGGTTGGGATTGTAATTCTTAGAATGGTGATATCTTTACTGAAGTGAAGTCCTTGAAACTACTGAATGGAGAGGTCAATATTACACTCTCCTACTTCAGGCCAGTAACATATACATGGAATGAAGTCACTTAGTGCTTAGGCTGTGTAGCATTTGTTTTCTGGAGATAAAGAGGAAAAGAAACACATTTTGGAAACAGAACTAAACAGTAGCCACACTGAAAAAGATACTTATCTATATGAAGAACCACACTTCCAGTGCTGGGGACAAAACAATGAGAATGGAAAAAATGGAAAGGAAGTTCCCATCACCGTCGTTGGTGGAAGGGGAAGAATTCTATCCAAGAAAGGGGATCTGGTAAGAATGGAAGACCAAAGAAATTAATTACTGCGAGCTGGAGCATGCTGTCCTGTCAGAGAGAAATCAACCTGTAAATGGACAGAAAGTCCCTGACCAGTTAGGAGAAATACATATGCAAATACTAAGCAAGAACAGAGTCAGGATAGAGCCAGAAATGGTCCAAAGTGGGAAAGGTCCAGATAATAAAATGACAATAATAAAATAAAGATTCAGATAAGTGACAGTAATACAAAAGCTTCAGATCACTAGTAACAATAATCGTCATCATAAATAGCGCTAGAGCCATGTACCAGCCACTATTCTAGGTGCTTTCCACGTGTGAATGTAATTAACCCTCACACCCTCCCCATGAGGAAGAAATGGAGCCACAGAGAGGTTGTGTGACCCACCCAAGTTCTCAACAGCTGGCACCTGGCAGTGTGTGAAGCTGTTGTATCTACACGCTCAACCACTCTGACAAGGGTGCTCAGACTTTAGCTGCATCAGAACCATCTGGAAGGCTTGGAGTTTCTGACTCGGTAGGTTTAGGGTGGCGTCCAAGAATTAGCATGTCTAAAAATTCCCAGGTGATGATGCTGTTGCAGGAACACACATTGAGAACCACCACACTGGGATATAGATGTTGAATCATATCAGCAGCTTAACGGCTTACCCCCCCTTGATAAATCTCCGATTCCCCACTTGCCCTTAGCATTTCTGAAATAACGCTATTGCACGCAGACATGGAGAACATCCGTTTATTACTTTTCAGAATCTTCAGCATCCTTACAGATAAATGAATGCCAATGACCCAGTGGCCCAAGGCTAAGTATTAATTTTTTAAAAAGCAATATATGGAGAATCTGATCAAAACTGTAACACATTATTTATATTTATCATATAAGTATTATGTGTTATAGGATATATAGAAATTATATATTATTTAACTTATAAAACAGTTACAGTAAACACATAGATATTATGATATATTATTCATATTATATTAAATATATGATATAAATAATGCTAGTAGATGTATTAGCCAAAATTAAGCACAGACAAGTCTCTCATTTCCACAATAGACTTTCACCCACCATTCTTCTAGTCAACCTGTATTTACAGGGTATTTAATTCTCAACAATGTGATAATAAAGCTAACTTTCATGTGATGCTTGGCTGGGAAAAAAATAAATATGCTTTAAGAATGATTTTTTTCCCCCTCCTAGTTAGTACAAAACTGAGACCTTCTAAAAACATATAGCTCTGTTGAGTCAAATTTTGGAAGTCTTCAGTTCACCCATGCTGGGAAAAACTTCTGTGTTCCATGGTGGGCTAACAAAGTATATGCACCTGTGGAAAAATAATTTAGAAATGGGGAGACAGTGTCTCCCTAAACCTGGAATTTCTCAACCAGGCCTCAAGTGATGTCATCCTACATACCTTCAAATGGGCGGTGAGGCATGGAAGAATGAAATCCAAATCCAACCATAACTCTGGATTTCTAGACTAAAATTAGAATTTGAGGGACTTTGACTTGAAAACTCTGGCAAAACAGCTCCCTGTTTGTAAGAAAAGTTGCTTCTAAAGCTTTGTTGGATGTCAAATATTTTTGACAAAACAATCTTTTAATGATCTCTCTTTTTGCTATGAATCTGAAATACCTGGCTGAAATTTCACTTTAAGGGTACATGGGTTTAAATATTAAGTAGAAAAAAAGTGCTTGACAAGAATCTAGTTGGGGTTCACTGAACTCAAAAGGTTTAAAAATAATGGAAAATAAACTCAGTGAGGCTTAGCTATCCTTTCTTTGGATCCTGTGACTGTGGCCGCACATACACATGCACTGGGGCCTTTGGCACTGGCCTCGTGCCACCTTCTACCTGCTCTTCAAAGCAGCCTAGGACTCGCTTCAATGGCTGGGCTCCCTGTTCTGAATCCACTTCTTGACTTCATCAGTGTCAGCTGAGGACACAGATGGCTTTGCCCAGGTGGCCTCAGAACTGGACATGTTCATTAAAGAGAGCAAGGTGGCCAAAGTTGACTCTCAGCAGATTCCAAAGGGTGGCCCTTTGGTTTTATCTGCTGGGGAAATTACTCTTTCCTTCTGCAAACCCATGTTTTCTCTCGGACCATTGAGGACTGAGGTTGGCTGGAAGGAGTGGCAGCTTTTGGGAGGCTGTGGAGTTGGACACTCTTCTTTGTGAGGAACAAGAGGCTCTGAGGGGAAGCACCAATGAAGGTTATGGCAAATTCACCATCTAGTTTCCTCTATCCTAATGACCTGTATTTTGAAGACATGAACTTGGAACCTCATTGGTAGAGCCGTGGTCATTTTGGGTTGTCGTGGCTGATTGTTGCTTCCACCTACTAACTGCCCCTCTCTGTGGGGTCCATCCATGAGATTCCTTCCCTGGGTTTGTCCCTGCAGGGAAGTATGTTTTCACCCTTTTGTGTCAGATGTGGTCATGTGACTGCTTCAGCCAATGGCCTGTGAGCTGCAGTGACTCAAGCCTCACCTGAACAGAGACATAAGAATGACACGGTTCTGTCACTGCTCTCCAGTGAGGCTCAGATTGGGCTGCTCCTTCCTCTGGATGGCAGTGGGGGTTAGGGGGGAGGTGGGCGACACTTGGAGCTGAGCTACAGCTGAACCAAAGCTGACTTGTAACCCAGGTGAGAAAAAACTCTTGTTGCCTGGTTGAATTCTTGGACTTGTTTTTTACTAAGGCAAAACCTAGTGAAAGTCTGACCGCAGTGACGTTCTTACTACATATTTTTGGGTTAAATATCTGACCTAAAAGGTACTGTATTTAAAGAAAACATGTAAAGTCTTGAAATATCCCTCAAGATAAACTTCAAATGTTAGTCTATGGCTAAACACTGAATAGAAAAATAAATACAAATCTCACAGGATTTCAGTGGGAAGAAAGACTTGCCTGATCCCTAAGGACAGCAGAGAAAAAGTGAATAATTCTTCTCATTCAATTACTTCTAAATCAGTACTTAAATTTATCACGACAAGACAACTTTTCAAGGCAAGATATAAGGGCCTCAGATTCTGTCACTCTTATTTCTGTGGAGCAAGAAGCCCTTGGTTAATGTTCTGGTGGCCTCATAATCTGTGATGACAAACACATAGGGGATTATGTCATTAATTAAACATTACGTCATTAAAAGGGACTAGCCCTTTTCAGTGCAATTACAGACAGTATTTTATTTAATCCTTCTCTTTACCTTGTGAAGAAAGAGTTTTCTTGATTTTCTAAATGAGGAAACTAAGCTTAGAGAGATTCGATAATTTACACGTTCATAAAGTTAATACATAGAGGACCTCGTTGGCAAAGCAAATCTGTCTCCTATC